TATCAAAAAAAATTTTATTTAAATATATTAAAATTTAAAAAAAGTAGATCATAACAATATTTATGATAATTTTCTAGACAAATTTGCCTAGAAGAGCCTACAGTTTAAGAGATAGAGTCAGTCTAGTATAGTAGATTATATTTAAGTATTTATATAGAAACAGTTAGATAAATCAGATTTTGTATTAATATATAATCTTTTTTTTTAAATATTAATAGTGAGGCCATGCTTCTAACTTATTAAATATTTAATTGAGATTATAATATAAAGCATTAATTTACTTTTAAAATATTATTAAAAGAATAGAAGCTCAAACAAGTTTATCTGCAGCCTAAACCAACTAGAGTGATTATGGTTTATCTAAATTTGAGTATTAGTAATAATATAGAAAAGATTAGTTAGATATTTAATCTATTATATATATCTAGAATTTATTTTAAAGCTAATGATAGTAAAGGAGACAGGTTGAGATGGGTGTAAAGTGAGATTAAAGTATAAATTGTTAATAGAAAAGGGCTGTTGATCTTAAAATACAATAGGAAATCCAAATTTTATAATAAATTTGTTGATTAAGATAGAGTAAGAATTTTATTACAAGTGCTATTGTTGTTTTTTGAGTTGATATGTTTGAAATGAGAAAATAATTTTATCTGGTACTAGGCCAAATAATGTTAAAAAAATTGATAGTACATTTGATATACTGTATATTGATATATAGTATAGTTGTTTGATCTGATTGTATAAATTATTTATTATATTAGAAGTAGTATTAAGAGTAGTTGTATTAAAAGTGTGTTGTAATAAATTGTATATTAGAATATATATATTTAATCGATAAACAGATTATTTAATGAAGATGAGAACTAGTGTAATGACATTGATGACAGGTAGATGAGTATACATGATTACGTTTATATAGATTATATAGAATAGAAAGTTTATCTAAAAGGATTTTAATTTTAAAAAACTTAAGAGCAGAAGATTGAAACTGTATAAGAAGTTAGAAATTTTTTGATTGTTATTAATATATAGCCAAATAGCTTGCCAATTGATTTGATTAAAAATTTTAATCCATTTTTTGAAGTGATTTTGTTTTATCTATAGTGTATAAAATATATATATAATCTTATAATCTATATAACTAAATGGCGCGTGTCTGTCTGTCTGTCAATAGTATGTTACACAATATTGACAAACACATGCAAAATATTACACAACATGCACCATGTCTGCCTCCTTAATGTCCAAATAAGGGGTGGCTAAAGCGAGTCATGTACCCACATGATTTGATGTTTTAATCAGTTTAATTAAAATTAACATTATGGTTAAGCTTGCGTGTTGATATAAAAACGGAAATAGGTAAAATTGCCTTCCCGGTATTTTAATTAGTGCCCCAAAACTGGTGTATTTCATTTTTTTTTTGCAGTTTGTTAGTTTTACCTTCTTCGTCTATTCTGTATAAACAAATTTCACAAATCTGGGTGGTTGAATTACATAAAAAATCACGTGGGGTACATGGCTACCCCAGTATCGCCTTAACAAAAATTCGCCCCCAAGTAAACAACAAAAAAATTCTTTAAGTTCAATTTTGTTTGAAATCGCTTAAGGAAAACTTTACATTAGTGCATGAAAATTAGGTTCTTATGTAAGTTATTGAGAAATAAGCGATTTTGTTTACAAAGACGACATTTGTTTTAAATTTTCCTGTTCATATTACATTACACTAACTTATGATCTTTTACTGGCCAATAATTACATGGGTGAATTTTTTTATGGCTATAGCTTTAGATGACCCAAGTTTGCTAATATCATGTTATACAGCATATATATTACACGGCATGCATATTTGGTATCATAATGCGACGCGATATATAAGTAGACTCTTTTTTGATTTTTTTTTTACGTGCTTCAATTCTCTTTTTTTTATATATAATCGCACAACTGATCAATTTTTATAAACATTTTTTTAGATATTTTGTTGCCTTATGGAATTTGAAAATCAACCAGATAACAGATTAACTAATAGTGAACAAAACTCTTCAGAGAATGATCGATGACGTCAAAGTGTCAGGCTGTCACAACGTAAGCGGCGGGCAACTGAAACTGATGAGCAAAAACAACAGCGCCAGGAAAACGATAGGCACACAAAGCGAATACGTCGCACTTTAGACAGTGAAGAACAACGGCATCATCGTCAAGAGCGTGATAAACTTGCACAAAGAAATCGTAGAGCTACTGAATCTGAAGAATTACGCGAACAACGACTTGAATGTGATAGGTTAGCTCAATGTGAACGGCACCAGAAACAACGACAAACGCATCTTCTTTTAGGAAGAAGCTATACCAATGAGAGGAGTATTACACCATTTCGTCTTCAACCTCCAACGGTTTGTGAGTATTGTAGAGCGAAAAAAATTATGTATGAATCTAGCGGTTTCTGTTACAACAATGGAAAAGTAGTATTAGCCGATGTAGAAGCTCCTGCTACGCTGCAAGATTTGTTTGTTAGGACGGATGCAATTGAACGTGATTTTTGGCATAATATTCGGGCTTATAATAATCTTTTTGCGTTCACTTCTATCGGTGTTCGATTGAATCAGCAGCTGGCCAATGGTAATTCGTTTTTAAAAATTCGCATACATATTCCTGAGACGTCACAGTTTTATTTCTCTAATTTTGAAGGTGATATTATTAAATTATTTTATATTATTATATATATTTAGGTAGAGCTGGCGTTTACACTTTTCGTGTTCAAGGAGGAATATATCATGCGATTGGGTCGCTTCATCCTCAAAGCACACAACCTCTAAAATATATGCAACTTTACATAGAACATGAAGTAGATAACCGTTTGAATAAAATGCCTAATCTTCGTTGTGATACGATTGAATCAATAAGGAATGTACTTAACGAAGTCAATCCTTTTGTTGAAAACTTCTGGCACCTTTCTACTATCGAGACCGTGTCAAATTTGCAGTTGATTATTAAAGCTGATCACGGATTAGATCAACGAGTATATAATAGACCTACAAGTAGCTGCTATTTGGGTTGAAGGCAGTAACTCTGACGGAATTCAAAAACGAGATGTGGTTGTTCATTCACGTTCTGAAGGACTTAAAAGAATTTCTGAAATTAGCGGCCCGTATAATCCTATGCAATACCCACTTCTTTTTCCACAAGATCAACATGGGTGGCACCCTGGTATTTGTACCAATGCTGTAAACGATGAGAATAAACAGCCAATTGAGGGGAATGAAAGTCAAATTTCCAGTGGTGTAATGAAGATGATCGCAAAACAGGATTACGCATTCAAGATACAAATTAGAGAGCAACCTTCTTTAATTCTTTTAGGCGGAAGGCTTTTTCAACAATATGTGGTTGATAATTATGTGAAAATTGAAGCAGAACAACTCAATTATTTATGCTTCAATCAACCCAAAATCAGGCGCGAGTTGTATTCAGAGCTTGAAGATTCATTTAATGCAGGAAATAATAATGCTGCAAATGTTGGAAGGCAAATTATTCTTCCATCATCATTTACAGGCGGACCTCGAGATATGCACCAACAGTATCAAGATGCCATGATTTTAGTACCCACATTTAGACGAATAGACTTATTTATCACAATGACCTGCAACCCTAAATGGCCTGAAATACTTAAAAATCTGTTACCAGAACAGAACGTTGACAACCGACCTGACCTAACAGGTGAGTTTACTTTGTCATTAAATTAAAATACAATTACTTTTTATCGCATACTAAACGAACAGATGGGTGACGAACTCCAATTGATCGGTATAAACGTTTGCTTATTTTAATTTAGCTCGCGTATTCCGTGCAAAATTAGAATTAAAAAAGATCTTTTTCAAAGAGGCATTCTTGGAAAAGCCATTGCCAATACTTATGTTATTGAGTTTCAGAAACGAGGCCTTCCTCACGCACATATTTTGATTATTTTAAGTCCAACAGACAAACCAAGAAATCCGGATGACTACGATTCGATAGTTTGTGCTGAATTGCCTGATGAGAACACTGAACCAGCACTGTTTAGTAAAGTGATCGCGCATATGATGCATAGTCTGTGTGGCTGTTTCAATCCAAAATCTCTGTGCATGGAAGATGGCAGCTGTAAAAAAAATTATCCAAAAGATTTTGTTGCTGCTACGTATGAAGGTTCCAATACTTATCCACAGTACCGTCACCGCAATAATGGTCGTAAGGCAACAGTAAGGGGTGTTCAATTAGATAATCGCTGGGTTGTCTCTTACAACCCATACCTTTTGCTACGATATGATTATCATATCAACGTAGAAATTTGCTCAAGCATTAAGGCAGTGAAATATCTTTATAAGTACATATATAAAGGTCACGATAGAGCAGCATTAGAAGTTAGTTCAGATTCATCGTCACAAAACCGGCAAAATATCGATGAAATAACCCAATTTGTAGAAGCGTGATGGATTTCGTCCTCTGAGGCTTGCTGGAGAATTTTCAGATTCACTTTGTTTGAAATTAATCCTGCAATAACTCGCCTTCAGCTTCATTTACCTAAAAAGCATATAATAACCTATCATGAAACGACTGCTTTGGCTGAGATTATATCTGATGAAAATAATGAAAAGACCATGTTGACCGAATATTTTCACCTAAATGTAATCGACCCAGATGTGCGTAAGTACCTTTACTCCGAAATTCTACATTATTATGTTTGAAATTCCAAACAAAAGAAATGGACTAGACAAAAGAAGGGTGATGTAATTGGGAGAGTATATACTGCGCATCCAATCGAAGAAGAGAGATTTTTTCTTCGTTTACTTTTGCATCATATACGTGGAGCAACTTCTTTCAACAATCTCAAATTCGTTGATGGTTATCAATGTGATACCTTTAAAGAAAGTGAACAACGTCGTGGTCTTCTAGAAGATGATAGATCGTTGCATGAATGTATGGCTGAAGCAACACAATTTTGAATGCCTTATGAATTGCGCAATCTTTTTTCTTCGATCTTAGTTTTTGGGGAACCTACTAATGTTAGAGACCTTTGGAATGAGAATTTTAGTTTTATGTCTGAAAACTTTACTAGAACTGGCATACCAGAAGGACAACTACGCATTAATGCAGTACTTAAGCATGTTAATCGCTTCCTTCACCAGCATGCTAAAGATATAAGTGATTATGACCTACCACAAATCACTTTTGATACTGGTAATGACGATTTATCTGAATTAATTCATGAAGAACTAAGCATTTCAGTCCTACCCGAAGATCTAGAAAAAATTTCGACGCTGAATGAAGCTCAAAAAACGTTTTCGATACAGTAATTGAACGTATAAATGAAAACCGTTCTGGTGTATTTTTTATAGATGGCCCAGGTGGCAGCGGAAAAACATATCTTTATAAGTGCTTGCTCTCAAAGGTTAGGCAAAAAGGCCTTATTGCACTTGCGATCGCCTCATCAGGAATCGCTTCTTTAATAATGCCTGGAGGGCGTACGGCTCATTCTCGATTCAAGATTCCTGTACCTGTTGAAGCAGATTCAACATGCAATTTTAACAAACAAAGTGAGATTGCACGCTTACTTCACCTAGCAAAACTAATCATTTGGGATGAGGCTTCTATGCCAAATCATTATGCTATGGAAGCTTTGGACCGATCGTTAAAAGACGTTATGGGAAATCATCTTCCTTTTGGTGGTAAGGTAATCGTATTTGGTGGGGACTTTCGCCAAGTTTTACCAGTTGTTCAACGAGGAACGAGAGGCCAAATCGTTAATGCTTCCCTGAATAAATCGCCTTTGTGTTCTGTTATCGAAGTTTTTCATCTGCAAACAAATATGCAGGTGGAAAATAATGATCAGTCTAATAACTTTACGAATTTTTTACTGCGAATTGGTGATGGTTGTAAATCCGCTATTAATGGTGACATGATCAAAATTCCCGATCAGATGGTAATACCATGGTTAAACGAGCAAGATTCATTACAGAATCTTATCGAGTCCATATACTCAAATCTATCCGAAAATGCCTATGACAATGAACATATTATTAATAGTGCAATTTTAACAACTAAGAATGAGTACGTTGATTACTTGAACAAAAAAATTGTCGAGCAATTTCCTGGAACTTCCAAACCTTTTTACGCTTATGATTCAGTACTTGATGACACGAATAATATCTTTCAGGCCGAATTTCTTAACTCTCTAACACCTAATGGTCTACCACCTTATGAATTAATGCTTAAAGTTAGCACCTCCATTATATGTTTACGCAATTTAGATCCTAAAAATGGGCTATACAATGGAACAAGATTAATCTGTCGCGCATTTCATAGGAATGTTAATGATGCCGAAATAGCCATGGGCGAACATTGTGGCAAAAGAGTTTTCCTTCCTAGAATTCCATTAATGCCTTCACAAGACATCAAACTGCCCTTTATTTTAAAAAGAAAACAATTTCCGGTTAGACTTGCTTTTGCATTAACAATAAACAAATCACAGGGCCAAACCATACCTCGCGTTGGTCTCTATTTGCCTGAACATGTGTTTTCCTACGGACAATTATATGTGGCATTCTCTAAAGTTAGATTCGTTAATAATATAAAAGTTTTAGTAAAAGACAGAAAGATCGCAGGAAGACAGGAGATTTATATGCGTAACGTAGTATATAAAGAGGCATTATGCTATTAAATATATAAATATTGAATAAATTATTTTTATTGACAAATTTGAGAAACAAAAGTAGTTTGTTTATTTTTAATAACTTTCCAGGAAAATTATAGTAAATTTATGTATATAGTAACAATTAGAGTAACATATAGAAAAAGAATCATTAATGTAACTCAAACACGACAAAATACTGATTATTAAATTTATTGGGTGTTCTTTTAACTTCAAACGGCCTAATATTTTTTATTAAAGGTATTTTGAGCAGATCACATAACTGTAAACTTTTCATTATCTATAAAAAGATATTAGAGGTTGTTAAAAAAAAATAGTTTAAACTTTATAACCAGTATTTTCTATTAATGTTCTTCGAGTTCTCACAAGATCACTATTATAGTTTTGTGCGCTGTCTAAACTTTTTACTGTTCACTATTAATTTTTTTTTGAGCAGTAAAATAATAATACGTAGTTTTTTTTAGGTATATAGTAACTGACTATATATCATTGCCATGAAATATGACTAATCGTAATATAATGATAATTTTGACATGATGTGATTGTATTAATTCAATGTATATTACTAATCGATGTCTTTGTAGTAATTATTTATTAATACGTTTGATTGGTTTTTTTTTTTTGGGAACGCCTATTTCCACCATGAAAATTTTACTTTTTCCACTATTTGACGTAATTTATTATAACAAAATGTTCATCATGTTTATGTTGCTGAACGGCATATGAAAAGCATGGTGGAAATAGCAAATTTCCATGGTGGAAATAGGCATTCTCTTTTTTTATTGAGTTTTGTTAATATAAACCAACAGTTTGAGAACACCATTTTTTTTTATATTGTTCTCATGAGAAAAATTATTTATGACCATGTGACCAGAATCTATATTTATGACTTCAATTAAATCTTGCCGCAGTGCCAAATGTGATGTGGTCTAAATTTGTTAATGAATTAATAGTTAGCTTAGTTGGGTACACTAATTCGATTCCCGTAGTATGCAATTCTAAACATAAATTTTATTTACTACTGTAAAAGCAATTTTGTGAATGTGTTCCAGGTTTGCGGCGTAGTCAAACTTCTTTAAAGTTCATTTATGTTAGGTTAGGACTTTTATTATGTTTAGAGGTTAGAAACATAAATAGTAAAATTTCTTAGAGAAAACTGTTTGTTAATGCACGAAGAGTAATTTTATATGTAATTTTGCAAGAAATAAGCGATAATTAACAAAACATGCATACGTTTTGAATTTTTCTGTTCGTGTTGCGTTGCATCTGATCTTGAAATAGCTCTTTTTTTTAATATTTCAATTACTTTCTACATAAAGAGTAAAAAATCCAATTTTTAAAAATTGAAGAAGTAGTCAGAACAACTCTTATTTTACTACTTAATAATACAATTTGTACTATATATTTATATAGGGCAGTTAAATGATTAAACAATTAAGAATATTTAAGATAGTTTTAATTATTTTATATATTTATACTCACTTTATATTATTAGTTTTTGGGTTACAACTATAACGAAACAAATAAGTTGCATTGATTGATCTTATATTACGGCATTTTGAGAATATCTTGACTATATTAATATTATACATGTAGCAAAGCACGTGCAGATTACTAGTAAGTTATATAAAGTAATATACAGTCAAACTCCTCTATAGTCACCTTCTCTATAGTCACAAATTAATATAATTACCAATTTATTATTACTAATTATTTATAACTATATAAAAAATATATCTATATTAGTCACACCTTCTTATAATCATAGTATTTTGTATCTCAAAGGTGTGACTATAGAGGGATTTAACTATATATAAATTTGTTAACAAATATCTAATAAAGTTACTAGTGAAATTACTAAAGTTTAAAAAAAAATAAAATAACTTTTAAAAAAATCTGTTTTACAGATTTGTTGCGTTTAGCCTAATCTATAATTCTGTAAAAATAGATTTTTTTTTTTTTAATCTTCAAAGGTGAGACCATGCCTCTATCTTTATTAAAATTCAATTAGACTTCTTTACAAAAAAGA